CAAAGGATGAAATTTGCAACAACAAAAAATTATAAAATTAATACTGATATTTGGTACAGCAACCGTCACCAACGGGCTTGATCAGCGTTTTCCCAGAACTGCTACAACATGTGCCAGATGATCCGACTCGAGTAAGGTCGGACGGAGAAGAATCTAGTATGGGGACTGAAGGAGATTGGCTATCAGTAGAGGTAGCCGCACTGCAAGCAGACGCTTGTGAAGCAGGTTCTCAAACAGTAGATGGAATAGGCAAGTATCAGGGAGTAGGCGTGAACTGAGAAAGTTGCAACACGTATTGAAAATGTGGAGCCTCGTAATCATAATAGGCACGGGTAGGATCAATGGACTCCCTGATAATAATTGGCGGCACGGGGCTTGATGGGTGGTTTACAGGAGGATCGTGCCGCTTCTTCGAACGGTCAGTATGTATCCCCTTACCTTTATCGAGTCTACGCTTAGAATCCATTTATATTGATAGATATATATATATATAATTATATAATTTTTTTCTTAAAATTAGATAAGATAGAATGAATTATTACTTAACTTATTTAAAATTAATATATAATTTTTTTAAATTGATATGTAATTTGTTTTTTATAGCATTTATAGTTCCAAAATTAGAAAAGAAACAAATTATTATAATAAAACATTTTAATTATTAAAAAATATAGCAAAAAATTCACTTTTGCAAAGCATACAAAACAAAAATACAACAATTCAATCTGAACAACTTTGATCATCCTCATTCGCCACCTCTTCATCCTCCTCTTCTTCTCATAATCTCCCGATGGTTCGGTGTTGTCATCGTATTCAATAAATTCTTCCTACTCATCTTCATTTTCGTATTGATCATCTTCTGTCAGTTGTTCTTGATCCAATTGTCCTAGATCAACTCATAGTATAATCCTGCTTCATGATGCAATCCATCTAATAGATCGACATCAATTACAGGCATTATATGAGACATAAACCCTTTGATAAACTTATTCAGCACTTATATTCTCAATTTCTACTCGCCCGATTGGTTTTGTTTTTTCATAACCACCCACCAATGGGCCTTGTCCATTCAATGGCTGGATAAGGAATATAATAAACTTATCTAACATTTTGAGCAATGATGAACGGATCATATTGATTATATTCCCTATTGTAATTAACCTCAACAATGTTATAAAGGGGATGAACTCTTATACCACGAGGTCTTCTTGGATCAAACCATTTACACAAAAACAAAATAACCCTTTTTATAGGTTTGCGTGAATATTCCAATTCTATAACTTCTTTAAGGACACCATAATATTCAATTTCTCCCACATTGTTAATATCTTTTACACATACACCACTATTAACAATTTTCCTTCTTCGGAATATTTATCTGTGTTGAACTTATAACCATTCACAAAATACTTGTGGTACGATTTCACACTTAAATTTGGTCCCAATCCTAAATCACGTAAGTGTGGATTTGTGACACCATTGGCAGGATCATGCACCTATTTATAATATATTGAGAAAGTTAACTACATAAAAGATCATTCAGATGGACAAGCAACTCAGGAGGTTTTTGTTGTTTTGCAAGGACGAGCTACGAATTGTTTCAATGATCATGGAGATTAACATGAAGGTGTTTGGCCCGAATAGCAGCCCAAATCTGCCACTTTGAAGCATTTAGAGAGGGATTGGTTGTAGGCCTTCTTGAGAGCCTCTTCCAAAAGTGGTCGCATATTCAATATTATTGTTTTCTAAAATAGACATGGTTGAAATGTATAAATTGAAAGTCATGCATGTTTTCATAACTCGTAAATATAAATAAAAACCACAGTTCATGGGTTTGAAAGATTGAAAAGAAGATAGTGACCTGATGGACAGAGTTGTTGGCATAGCTGGTTTCTCCATCACCTGCATTCATGAGAGGTATATTTTGCAGCACTTCCATGTTTCCTCCTATGTTTGCTCCCATGTGCCAAGGTTTATAAAAACCGCTTTCATAGAACCGTCTCCGGCGGCCGTCTGCGCCTTCGTTCTTCTCCGTATGCCGCCTCCGCCTTCTCCTTTGTTATTTGCTTGGGAGAGTAAAGGAATTTGGATATCTTTTTATAGTCAAAGCTCTTCCAGCTTGCGCAGAATTCACAAGGGTTTTGTTTAACAGATAAGGCAGTGCCCATTAGAGGGTTGACGCAGGGACTCGTGATGTCTTATCAATGTCAGTGCCACCTTTCCCTTCCAGGTTAACCGGTTAATTCGCCTAGAGAGTTGGGATGCACTGTCGCTAAACTTTGTAATTTGATATATTTAGACTGCTGACTTTAGATTTCATCAATTGAGTCCGGCCACTTCAAAATGTGTTACAGGATAAGAAATCAATATCCAAATAGCAAATAAAATTAATTAAACAATTATTAATCTTTGGACATTTGGATGCCAGCTTTTATTGAATTTTCTCCCGAAATATTTTGGAACTTTTCTTGAAATGGTTTTGAAAATTTTCCATTTTTACATACTATTGAAGCAACTTATTGAAATGAAAATTTTGATTCTCGTTATCATACAAGGATTTTTGTACTTTTGCTCACCTCGCTTTTGTTCTCTCTTCCTCTTTCTTACATCTCTATCTTGAATATTCCATCTATTTTTAGTTTGAGACTAATCTTATTTAGGGTACATGATTTTTCCATGTCACACACATTGAGTTGCCCTCTCTTTCACTGGTAACTTAATTTCTCAGTTATTCCAAGATTTTTATAGAATTCTGGCTGAGATTTTTAGTTTCGTGAGAGAAATTATCCAAATGTTGAGAAGTTTCTCCATGAAATAAAGTGTATATAAGAAAGCATATTCTAATTGATTCGAGGGAACCACTTATCTTACAAAGAAAACTTTTTTAACCAAGTGATATGGGAGGATGGGCACATGGAGAGATAGTTTTCTCCTATGAATTTCTTAAATTAGTCTATAAAAAGACTAGTGATAAGCAAGAAAACAAAAAATGATAAGTAGAAAGATGTAAGAGATCTGCAATAGAAATTTCTCTTTTTTCAATCAGCAAGGCGCCAATCGATGTGCAGCCCTTGCCCGTTCTCCCTTCCCCTTCGTGATTGGCCTTCTCCCTTCTTAATTGATGAGTACTTTATTCCTTCTTCTAATTTAAGGGCCTTCTCCCTTCTTAATTGATGAGCACTTTATTCCTCCTTCCAATTTGACAGAAAGCTTTCAACTAATAGTGATGAACAAAAAAAAAGAGAGATAAAAATATAATTTGATCTTTTATCTAATTTTTTATTCAAATAATAGTTAAATGAATCAAATAATAATAAAAAAAAATCAGATCACTGTATAGATAGAATAATTATCTTGATTTGTACTATCACCCCTTTACACACAGTTTGAACGTGGTTGCAGAGAAGTGGGGCCTTTTTGAAGAAATTTGGCTCTGCTGGGCAGTACAAATCACTTAAATACTTTCCACCTATACCTGTTCTTAACGGGACATGATACCCATCCAATTAAATGATCAAACCCACAGCATCAACGGCCTGATACTTATTATCCTCGCCCAACATTGTACAAGCCCAGCTTTCTTTTGGACAGGTACGATAATAATAAAAGGACAGGTACGATAATAATAAAAAATAATAAATTTAATTATAAATATTTAATTATTATTTTTTATACTATTATCAGCATGATAATTTTTATAAAGGTAACCCTTCAGATTTGACAACTGAATTGAAAGTTGAGTATACGTTAAATCTCTCACTGTCAATCTTCCGAGGCCCCAAACTGAAAAATGTGATTCATAATTCTTTGTAAGTGAAGGTGGGTTATTTTTTATATTATATTTTGTTATTTATTGAAATAAAATTTATTTATTAAAAAAAGTAAAATTTTTAAATTTATCCAAGGAAAAAGACTAATTTTTTGAAAAAGTTAATTAAACTCAAATTAATTTTTATTAAAAAGTTAATTATTTATAAATCAATTTTCATAATGAACTCGATGCGATTGGATCTTCACATTGAAAGTCAATTGGCAGTGAACTAGAGGCGTGGAAATTATAATTTTAATTTAATTTTTTATAATTAAGTTTATTTTTTAATTTTTTTAATTTTAATATTTTGAATTAACGCAAGTCAAAGAAATATAATTATAAAATAAACCAAATCAAACTTAAAATTTCAATTTAATTTGGTTTAGTTTTAAGTTTGATTTATTATTATTTAATAAATTTATTTATTAATTTTTTATTATCAAATGTGTATGTATATGCACGTGTATGTATGTGTGTGTATATATGTATATATATTCATGTGTGTGAATGTATATATATTTGTTTGGTTAAATGGTTTGATTTGATTTAGTTTTGCACACCATTAACTAGACCAACACCAATTACTTTGATTTTTGATTTAGAATGATTTGGTTTAGTTTTTTAAATGAAATCAAATCATAATTTTAGATTATTTTTTTTAAATCAAATCAAACCAAACTAAATTTTAAAAATTGATTTGGTTTGATTTTGTTTGATTAAATAATTTAATTTGATTTAGTTTTGCACATCCTGAGTATAAATTAATCTAAATCATTAAATATAACATGAATTGTTTAGATCTTTATAAAAATTCAAATTAAAAAATTTTAAAAATTTCGACCATTCATAATAAAACAAATGATCCAACTTGACCAAAATAGATAAGTGAAATAGACACAATTTATGCCATTTATATGATCAATAATGGTCTAAAGTACTTTCTAAAAATTTAAAATTTTAATTTGATAGTATAATAAATTGGAATAATTTATTTCAAAACGGACGGTGCGGATTGATTAAAATGGAGAATGGAAAATTTTGTGAACTAGAAGAAACTTAAATGCCCCAAATATAGTAAACCAACCTATCCACTTCTCTTCTCGGTTATATATATGTATATAACCTTCCATTTTTAACTTCAAAAGTGAGCGTCTGAATCTGCCTCTCTAAAATCAAGTTGGATTATTAGCACAACAATGTCTATCCCAGTGGTGAACAACTAAAGCCATGGAGCCAGCTGGAAGGCAAGGTGGTGCTAGTGACGGGGGCATCTTCGGGCCTCGGCCGCGAGTTCTGCTGGACCTGGCCAAGGCCGGCTGCAAAATCATCTCTGCGGCTCGCCGTATCCAATTGCTGAATTCTCTTTGCCACCAAATCAACAGCTTAGGCCCTCCTACGGCTGCTGTTCGAGCGGTGGCCGTCGAGCTTGGTGTCACGGCCAAACGGGTCAGCCATTGAGGCCGCCGTGCAGAGGGCTTGGGATGCCTTCGGATGTATTCACACTTTGATTAACAACGCCGGTGTCAGAGGTACATCTACTGCTCTTTATTCATTATGTTATTTGCAAAATTTATTTATAATTCGGCCATTAAAACAGGAAGTGTAAGTTCTCCATTGGAGCTGTCTGAGGAAGAATGGAACAAGACGTTCAGGACAAACGTGACGGGCGCATGGCTGGTGGCCAAGTTCGTGTGCACGAGGATGATGTGTGAAAGGGTGAGGGAGGATCTGTCATCAATATTTCTTCTATTGATGGCCTCGATCGCACGCACTCGCTTGGTAGCGTTGCGTATTGCTGTTCCAAGGCGGCCTTGCACATATTAACCAAGGTGTTCTTTTTATTTTGTTTATTTATTTATTAAGTTAAATGGTATAATTAAATTGGTAGAATGGCGTAATCATGGGGCCAATAATTAATCATCAACTTGAATATTTTTCCCTAATTATATAATTTGTAGAAGTTACAGTTTTAATTCACCACTTATTAAGTAAGGATTATAACTTAACACAAAATCATTGTACGGCTAAGGATTATAATTTAAACATGAAATCATTATGCAATTGAACATGATATATTGACTAGTAGTTGTTCATATTTATTAATTATACTCATAAGTACGATAATTTAAAGGGTTAACTTCATTGAACCCTTTTAAACTATTCTCGAAAAATCATTTAATCTTTTGAATTACTAAAACATCATTTATCTCTTAATTTTAATGGTTCGTTCGTAGTAATCGTTTGAAAATTACTAATGTCAACAATTATAAATTATTGACACTATAGTAATTATGTGATATGACTAAGAAACGTTAAATTATTAAAATTTTCGGACCAAAATAACCCTAAGCTCTTTACAAATAGTTATAAGCTTATTTTTTTATTCATTTCACACCCAATTACTATCTTCTCAAATTTTCAAGGCTTGTTTGGTAATTTCATATATTCTAATTTTGTTGCATAATTCATGTATAAAATTAAATATTAATAATTCATAAATCCACTTATACAGGTTATTAATTTTTTAAATTTAACTTATTTTAATGCGTGAGCTAATAAACTTATAAGTCTGACTATGTCAACCTTTTTTTTTTTTTTTTCAAAGAGAACATTTCAAAAGGAAAAAAAATCAAGCATAAAAGTGCATACATCAAGGAAGGTTCTTATTTCCAACATCCTATATTTACAACTATGCCACTAGGCAGCTCTCTGATTCTCTTCCTCATTATTTTCCAAAACTTCTTCTCCACAACATCCCATATTTACAACGACACCATCGAGAAGCTCTCAAACCCATGAATTTATTTTGACATTGTCTTTGTCCCTCGCTTTGTTGACATAGGCCGAGTTTGAACTCAGCCACACACCACTCTCGCGCCGGCATTATCATCAAGTGGCTTCCGCCCTGTTCTAGTGCCGGTGTGGGACAGGTGCTGGCGGGTCACCTGGCCGGAAGACTTCCTTTTTCATTTTATTTTGATAGAAAATACACACTCGTTCCAGATTTAATTAAATAATATTTAATCACATTTTTATTATTAAAAAATATTTTTTAAAATTAAGTGTTAATTATGGTTGTTAACAATTTTGTTTTCTTTTAACAAAAAGTGAGATTTACCCAATTTTACATGTTTTAGTTACTCATTTGATTAAAATTTAAAATTTATTTAATTTACTTAAATTTTTTAAAATTCTTATTTTAATTAAAAAATAAATTTTCTTGATAATTTAATTTTATTATTTTCTAATTTTAAATAATTTTTATTTTCTTATTTCCTTAGTTTAGTTTTAAATGTTAAAATAAAAACGAGTTAAGTGTCACTTCAATTAGAAAAAAAGGGTTTAAGTATCATTTAAACTAAACAAAAGTTAAATAAAACTCAAATATAATAAAATAAAAAGTTTAAAAATAGTTAAATTATATTACCAAAAATTTAGATTTTTATTTTTTAAAAAATCTTTAATTTAAAATTTAAAAATCAAAAAATTAATTTTTTTTTTAAGTAAATCAAATAATATTTAATTTTTTAATCAAATAGGTAAATCAACTAGGTGAAATTAGATTACACTAACTTTTTTTTTCAACAAAATCATTAATTTTAAAATCATTAGTGTGAACAATTTGTTAAAAGAAACATATTTTTTATAATAAAAATAAGGTCGAGTGTTATTTAATTAAATCTGGAGAAATACGTGTGTGTTTTACATGTTGTTAATAAGTGTTTGTTTTTATTATTAATGGGCTTCAATTTTTGATAAATAACATTCTTTCCTCTTCCTTCAAAATTCCATACAAATTGGGAAACATAGACAAAATTTTATTTTTAAATAAAATTTTAAAATTGTTAAATAAAATTGTTAAACTAAAAAAAGTTAAATAAAATTAAAATATCATAAAACAAAAATTTTAAAAATTGTAAAATTATATAACCAAAAATTGAGATTTTTATTTTTTAAAATCTTTATTTTTAAAATTTAAAAATAAAAAATTTAAAATTTTTAAAGTAAATCAAATAATATTTTAATTTCTAATGAAATAGGTAACTTAAGTTGGTGAAATTGAATTACTCTAACATCTTTTTAAACAAACTATTAAATAAACTTTAGTCAACAGTTTATTAAAGAAAAGTTTTTTATAATAAAAATGGGATTAAGTGTTATTTACTCAAATTTGGAGGGAGGAAGGTATTTGTTACTCTATTTTTGTAAGTGTTTGTTTTTATTATTAATGGGCTTCAATTTTTGATAAATAAGATCCTTTCTTCTTCTTTTATAATTCCATACAAATTGGGAAACATAGACAATGGCGTTGGAATTAGGACAACATGGAATCAGAGTGAACGCAGTAGCACCAGGACTCTTTCCTTCAGAGATCACCAAGGAACTGATGAGCAAGAAATGGCTCAAAAATGTGGCTTTCAAGGCAGTGCCTTTGCGGACCTTAGGAGAAACGGATCCGGCGTTGACGTCCATTATCCGTTACCTGATCCATGACTCGTCGGAATATGTCTCCGGCAACGTTTTCACTGTTGACGCCGGTAGTTCCCTTCCTGGTGTCCCGATTTTTTCTTCCCTTTAAATATCTTGTTATTTTAAAAATTTGAAAAATTTTCTACTATATTTTCTTCAATGATACTAATTCCCATTTGTATTTTCTATGAGAAAAATGATGTATTTATCATTTGTATTTTCAAGTGCGAAATTTAAGAAATTTATATAAAAAGAGTGTTATTAAGGTATAAATTTTTATAGAGATTTTATGAAAAATAGAAATTATTTTGTGTTTATATACTTTTATTACAATCACTTTGAAAAATAGAAAGGATAAAAGTTGTCATTTTGAAATTACACAAAGATATTTTTGTCAAAATAATTAGTTTTCTTCACTTTTTTGAACGAGTCTTCTCTCTCACCTGTCAATTTTGTATTTTTCATAAACTACTTATACTAATTTTGAAAACAATAAAAATTCTGTTTTTATTTTTTTAAAAAAATTTATGTAAATATTCTAAAATATTGTAAAAGTACTTTTTTAAAAAAGATACTTCTTTTTTGTAAAAAAAAATTAAAACAAACACATCCTTTATTTGATTACAACTTATTCTTAATTATTTTTCTTGTCCCCACAACCATTTTAAACTTATCAAACAAGCCATTGGAGTTCTTCATATTTCCCGTTTGATTTACTTCTTTTAGATTGGTATCATCCTGTGAATTAATTAATGATTTCAAGGTACGCCCGGTAAATTGATTTTTTAGAATGAAGGATAGTATTAATCACCATTAAATTTTATCCATTTTTTCATCACTACGCAAGATAATATATGATTAATGTTATATATTTATTACATAATATCTGATGTTTCTCGTTATTATGATATAATAAAAGGTAGGAAAATTTATAACAAAAGAAAAAAGTAGTTGGCACAATTTTTTTAAATCATTACACGTATACTATTTCATTTTATGATTTAAGAATAATTTTGTTTAGAGTATTATAATTGCACATCTTTAAAGGTATATTTTCATGAACAAAATTGATTTTACATTGTAAATGCAAGAGTGTTTTGACCCTTATGTCAGATCTAGTCCTTAAAATTTAATTGGTAATAATATTAATTAATTTTATTGTAAGGGGTGATTAGAAATTCATAAGAGCTAAAAGATTTTAGAAATTCGAGAGCCTTACCAGAGGAGGAGATTGTAATTATCATCTGGCAATCTTTATGGAAAGTTTTTTTTGGGTGAGCTGGTGAAGATCCTAGCATGGAGAGCTTGCCATATAATTCAATACTAGTAAGAAGGAAGGAGAATTCATGGAGAAAGCACCTGATACAATCTATGGACATAATTTCCATTGTTAACCGGCCGTCGTGGACTAATCCAAACCATATTCTTCAGAGTAATACGGAGAAATCAGCTGACCAACCAGCAGCTTTTAAATTTCAACTTCCTTTCAGAATTTGTTGAGTTGAATAGTGTATGTTGCACGTTGGATCTCATTTTGGACAAGGCGGAGGGAGTGGATTGGACCATAAGTAGAAGTATTACCCTTTTTATTAACAGGTATTTTTTAAAAAATATGATAATTAACTCATAATAATTAGTATTAACATCAACTTTCAATAGACTAATACAAAAATTGTTTGACCCGTGCAAACACTTTTGAGGTGAGGAATGTAGATAGGGTCGTGAAAAGTTGTAAATTTCATCTCGATGAGCATGTTAAAGGCTAAAAATGAGAGGGTCACTAATAGGAAAAGGAAGTTTTCCAAAGAAGATTTCTTGACCACTGTAATTTTATCGAAAATTTTGATAGATTTTTTGATGGAAATTTTTTCTAAAAATGATAGTCACACAAATTAATATTCATTTGGGATTTTCCTTTTGCATAGCAGTAAAAAAAGGACAAAAGAGTCTTTAAGGACAGTGATCCATTTCCAAACTCGAAGCCTTGCAGAAGATCTAATCCAACAGATGGTTGTTTTTCTCATACTTTGTACAAGGACTGGTTTTAGCACATCTCTCTCTCTCTCTCTCTCTCTCTCTCCCTTGCCCTGGGTTTATAATTTCATTGTCAAAAAGCCCGAATTTGTATTTGATGACGCTTTTATTTTTGTGGTGCCTTGTGCTAGCTAGAAAAACGTATACACATGCTTACATGTATACATATGTGTGTGTATATAATTATATTTCTTGCTGTTTATAAATTATTATATATGGCATGCTTCCTAGGAAAAGACAGATGGTTTTGTTGAGCTTAGGAAGTTAGTGATGATGAACTTCCAGCTTACACCCACTTATGCATTTAGTCATTTTTAAATTATCCTCATTCTTCATCATTGCTTTCATGCGGGAATAACAAAGTGAAATAAACAATAATCCCCTCGCGTTAATTTGTGCAATCAAATGCTAACATTTCATATACTAAAATATTTTGGAACGTACTTATTTATTCACCCTACGAAACTAGCCATGTGCCACGTAGGAATCTAGGGCGAGAACTTCTGCCCTGGGTTCTCTCATTTCCCATTCGCTACTCGAAGTAATAAAAATCATTTTCAAACTAAATCCTGGCTTGTTCATGTGTTACTGTATAATGAATATTAAGACAATACTAACTCAATGAATTTAATATTTATTAAATTAATACGTTATTGATAAAATGAATATATTAAAACTACTAATTTACATAATTTTTCCATTGGCTACTTAAAACAATAAGAATCATTTTTAAGTAGAGTCCTAATTTATTAATTAATGACTTTAATATTTATTATATTAATATATCAACATCAATTTTTGACACTTATATAATAGATATTACAATACTCACTAGATTAGAACATAATAATTAATTACAAATACTTTTAATTGTTTTTTACAAGAATTAGAGTATTTTACTCTTTTTTTTCTATATGTATTTATAATTTCTCTCTCTATATAAATGTAAACAGTTTAAATGTTTGAATATTGGGTTCATGCACTCAACCAGATAATCAGGTTCAATTCTAATAATTATATTACTAATTCATGCTTTACCAACCCCCATTGCCCAACATTGTCAACATAGTGAATCAGAATATGTAGATACTATATAATTATCATAGATTTTTTAAGGCACAATTTTCAATTGACTATGTGAATGTTTTCTTTGGTGGGCCATTGGACTTATATATATATATATATATATATATTCTATTTATTAGCCCATTTTTTTATATAAAAAATTTTGTTAATTAAAATTAAATTTGTAAAAGAAAAAGTAAATAAAAAAGCCCCTTGGCATGCCGTGTTTTAGTTCTGTGGTCAATGTTGGCCATTGGAATTTCTTATCATAAAAAAATAGCCTAAGAAGATGAAGAGAAACTTAAATGTTAAGTATAACATCTAATAAACGGCGAATCATCCTTCAACTACTCTGGTCTTTCTCCAACCCTTGACCTCTAGTTTTCTAACATATTTGCCATCCCCACTAACCCTATGTATTCCAAAATATATTATTTCACTAATTCATTATTTAATTAATATATGGTCCTTTATTAGATTATACGTATCTCCCACCAACAAAATAATTATATTTTATTTATTTATTTAATGGTCATAGCTAGATGTGATGAAATTCTTAAATCGTGACTCAAATTTTCAGATATTATAATGATTATGTTACAATATCCGTCATGGTTGTTGCATTAAAATTCTAATTTTGTTTCTATATTTTTTAACTTAATTTTAGAATATTATATTTTTAAATTTTATAAAGAATAAAAATCATTTTATTCTCTTAAACTTTCTTCTTTATCTTATTTAGCATTTAAATAATATAATGTATTATTTACCTTATTAAAGATTAACACTGTTAAAATAACTAGTATATTTATCCCTTGAGTTCTCCAATTTTAAAATACTAAAATTATTTTAAATATTAATATTAAATAGTTAATTGTTAAAAATTTAAATTAATATTTATATTTGATAATAAATTTTAATGTTTTAATGTTTTAAAATCTAGATCAGATCGTCAATTAAACCGGTTCAATCATGACCTAATCTAGCAAAGAGTCTAGATTAAACTCCCTAACTAGAATTATAGTTGGTTAAAATTGGACAAAACTTAATAAAATCAATTATTTTCACCGATTTGTTAAACTAATTCACAATAATATATTTATTAATTTTATTTAAAACTTCTATTTTGACTTTGTGTAATATAAATTATGTTATACATATCATGAAATAGAGAATTTTATTATTTTATAATTAAATAATTTCTAAATTGTAATGAGGTTGAACCGATTGATTTTTATCATTTTTATCACTTGTCAAATTTTAAATGGTGGAGAGCATAATTTTTCCCCCGTCTGTGTATAATAAAGAAGGCAATTGTGACTTAAATTTCCTGGTTAAGACTCTCAATGTTTTTACAAAATTAAAAATAAGTATTCTAAGTAAAAAGAAATAAAAAATTAATTAAAAAATTAAAAATATGTATTTATAAAAGAATAAAAAATTGTCGAAAGTATTAAAATGATTCTCTGCTTGCGG